TTAAGACAACTTAATGCGGGCTTGAGTGACAAAGCCGAGGAAATGATAACGTGATTAGAGTTGGTGCTTAACCGGTCTCCTACCCCACTTAAACCACGGTCGTAGTAAAGCACATTTAGTGATCGGATGCCTTGCAAACAGGTTGGAGACCTATTAGGCGGTTTTGGTAAAAACTTTATCTGTGATATTTTTGCCCTCTTTGAAAAGTCCAAGAAATGACAACATACTTCGCATCATTCAAGAACCTGTCAAGGTGCTCGCCACGATAAGGAAAAGAGACACATTCCTTGCCTTAGCAGCATCCAATCAGGTTAATATAAACTCTCACTCCGGCTTAGTTACGGCCATTCTCAGACTTGAAATTGATGCTGCATCGAAAAGTCGTAAGTATGGAAGGCAGTACATGTTCGACAGACCCAACAGGGAATTAATCCCATCTCAAAACATACAATACAATACCATAAGTTTCTTGCTATAAAGGTTCCAGAGAATGTAATGGAGAATCATGGTGATATTGTGAATGTCATAGAGAAATCAGCTACTTTAAACTGCCAAAAGTATAGTATAAGGAAAGTCAAATCTAACCCAAGGTGTGCAATAGACTTACTCCAACGTAGTGAGCTCTGGGCGACGTTTACTCATACGGCAAAATTGTCCATCAATCGGTAGTTGACTTCGGACTTCAAACTACCATGACACCACTGTATTTCATATTCCACCACCTCCACATTACTCACCTTATCTTTTTCTCTACATTTGTACCTTTGTCTTTCACCTCTGTCAATCAGTCTTCTGTGCCACCCCCCGCTCGACTTGCTGTGACTCCGACGTTCCTCTCCTCTGTGAAGCCCGAAGTCAAGTAAGGGGCTAATGATAACTATCACAAAGCCTGCCATTCAACTGTTTTCACATCCCTGTGGTTTAAAAATTCTTCCAATTAAAAATACACCGGCGTACTTGGTAAGGATCGAAGTTAATCAAGAACAGCGGTATTCTCTATGAGATACAGTAGGCTCATGAACATCTCTGGGGTTAAATATCCCCTTATCAAACTAACTTTGCTTAGGAACCCCCAACGCCTTTCGCTTCATTAGGAATGATGGCTAGCCACTTCACCTCTGGGATATTTGTTTTGCGAAAGGGCCCCCCCCATTGATCTTCCATTGTCAAAACGAGGTCAGTGTGTGGAAACAGAAGCAGAGATTAAGAGTAACCATTGTAAAAGAATAATTTTTCACTGATGACTGGGCAAATTAGTTGAATAGGGGTACAGACGAGTAAAATTGACTAGTGGCCGAATACCGAAATTCGAATTTTCAGCACTTCTTGTACAGAATAAAGTCGAGTTAAACGAGCGAAAGGAGACGGAAAGCTGTGGTTGTCCAAGACCACTGCGAGCAGCCCACTCGTCAACTCCACTACAGATCTGTGGAGATCGTAGCCCGGTTGATTCCAAATAGTGAAAGGTGGAAGTAGAAGGTGAGATGGGAGGTGATGAAGTCACAGACGCAGTCCTCCGGATGCTAGGTCTACTCGTCGTTTGGTTCAAAATATTTGAAATTAAAAATGTTGAAGAGAAAAATGCGTGATGAACTATAAGAGCCCTCAATCTGATATCTTTTTTCGTACATTCTGATAACGATTGCATTACAAGAAGGCAATCACATAACTTTTCAACCACTTTAGTTTTTCTTGTTGTCTGAAAGATTAAATTGGCAGTAGTACTCAGAAATTCAAGCACCTGGTTTTTAATTGTAATGTAACTCACCTTTCCTTTAATCAACTTAAAAACATTGCTATACATTTGGTTGATCATTCTATTCATACGGATTCGTCGTTCACGTTCTCTGTTTCTCTTCTTCTCCTACACAAAAACATAAAGAGTTGGGGATAAGCAATTGCAATGTGCATAGATTTAAATAAAACGCGCATTTAGTACCTTTTTGCTCNGCTGGAGTTAGATTGTGGGACATTGGTCGCACACTCTCCTTACTACTCTCATCATTATCTTCATCGTCATGTTCTTCCACCAAAACTGAGGCCCTTTCTAGATCAGAGGCGCTTGAAGCTGGAAATGTTGACACTATTAGGTCTTTTAAACTGGTATCTTCTTTCGATAATTTTGAAAGAGCTTGGAGTACTTTGAGACAATCCGTCATTTTATCGACTTTCAGCCTCTTTAGGCATACCTGCAAGTTCAATTCAGTGACATCATTTCCATACCAATGGAACTTACACGTTGCCTAATAATCCCGTAAACGGTAGCATACATTGAATGCATCAGGTCATTGATAATGTTGCGTCGATGACTTTCGACAATCTTTCTCCCTCCCTGAGAAAAGAAAAAAAATTGTAAAAATATTTCTCTCCTTAGTGTCATTGTGTGCGTAAAATAAACTAACTTTTATTTCGACTGCTCGTTTAGCCCACTGCGTTGACATCTCTGGAGCATGAGAAGTTGCTACGATATCCAACCAAATCATCAATGACGGTAATCCAGCTTTAATAACTACTGGCTCCCAAATCCGTTATCTCAACTATATGTGTTTTAACGCGTTGGCGCCCACGAACTCATTGGTTGATTGAAAGCGAATTCATGTCATGATCAACCAATTACATTGTGGAAATGTGTGGTCAACTAAATTAGACGATTTCGTGGAAGATATTGTTTAGAGGAAATCAGTAATGCGACTGCTTGTACATCTTAAGTTTGTTTTAAGGAGGAATTTGAGGCGCCTTTAAAGAACTCGAAATAAGAAGCAAGTTAATTCCCTATTGATTGATGCTGATTTGTTAACCGTGATCTTAAGTATTTATGGCATTAGAGTTAATCATTATGTAGTATTCATTCAAGGTTTCTCATCGTTTTGAATATATAGTAACTCTTTTGACTGATAGATTCATTTGGCTGCAAAAGTTAGAATCGATTAAAAAACTAGAGGCAAATAGATTACATTGGAATAAATATTGTTTATTAACGAGTAACTTACTCACTATTTCAGTGAGGTTGCAGAAATGCAATAATAATAAAATAATAAACACGTTTGTCCGAAAATCGTGGGGTGCGCGATAGACTTATATGGGCAAAGTACACTCATACGGCAAAATTGTCCATCAATCGGTAGTTGACTTCGAACTTCAAAC